TTACCTTTAGCTTTTCCTGTCAGATCTACCTCACTCGGTTTCTTCTTTGCCTCTTCTTCCTTTTCCTTAGTTTCTTTCTTTACACTCGAAAGAAATTCGAGCAATGTATCCAACATGTCCATTGCTTCCTGCATTTTCAACAAATGTGCATATCGAGCTGTGTAAACATCATCCCCATGAGTCACCGCCTTGCTCCGAGAACTTGCATCCCCATTCGGATTTTGAGCAAGATGCAACAAAACAAACATCTCCACTGATAGAATAATTCTCATTTTGCCCTTCACTTGCATCGAAGCCTAAAACCCTCCTCAACACAAAATATGACGACGATAATGTTTGTGTTGGTCATTGCTTGCCCTATTTGTGAGAACAAAATAGTAATCAAGCCTTAATCTTGCTTCAGTGTAATTAGCATCGTTTGTATGAAGGAGGTGATATAATCTTACCTTTCTTAATTGCACATAATTGGTTGATATGTTTCTTTCAGCGCTGGACCTACAATGACCAAAGGCACTGATTCTGGAGATATTTGCTGTCCGTAGGTTTGATCCAGTTACACTGCCGGTCGCATTTCAGTACAGTACATAGTCGATAGTATTGTAATTCTATATATGAAATTTTTATGTTAAATGTACTGCTAAATACAGCGCAGATAGCTACCGATTACTTTATATTAATCAATATTCCTGAAACTAAGTGTAGTTGGACGGTATGCATATATTGGGGTTATGGAAAAAGGGTGACAAGGAGCGTCGACCTAATTGATGAGAGATTAAAAGCCCGGATGAGAGATGAGTGAGTAAGTGAGTGGGTTTAGTTTTACGTTGCACTGCACTCAGCAACATTCCGGCAGCCTGTACATAATCAACAATAACCAGACAATTTAGTGATCAACAGCATGAGCATCGTTCCACGCAACTGGGATACGATGACATATGTCAACCAAGTCATGTTTCAGAACTATATCCAGCGGGAACAGTCCAGCATTAGCAGTGAGTGAGTGAGTTTAGTTTTACGCTGCTTTTAGCAATATTCCAGAGTTGGAACAGTCTACCTGATGGAGGGGAGAGAGCTGGTAATTAAAACCCCTTTGGCTGGATTGTAGTATTGGACGGGTAGTCAAATTGGGAGTAGTCATTATGGGAGTGAGTGAGTGAGTTTAGTTTTACGCCGCACTCAGCCATATTCCAGCTATATGACGGTGGTCTGTAAATAATCGAGTCTGGACCATACAATCCAGTGATCAACAGCATGAGCATCGTTCCACGCAACTGGGATACGATGACATGTGTCATCCAAGTCAGCGAGCCTGTCAACCCCATCCCATTAGTCGCCTCTCACGACAAGCATGAACCAATTGCTGTGAAGTCCAACTGACTTTAAACGTTCTTTGAATTAAGATAAGCAACGTGCCAGTTGATCAGAGATACGACATGTAGTCATATATAAACAATGGCGGTAAAGAGTCACTTCTGAATATGAATGTTTCTGTGTTATGATACAAATGTACAATTTCGTTTGATTGCTTATCAAATTACTAATAGATCTTCGAGCTTAGTAATGCCTTTGCTATTAACAGTCAGCCCACAAAGAAACGAATGAGTGTTGATGGTTATCCATCTGCCCTACTTTTTTCGCATTGTTTCTGAACCAGAAGTTCGCGATCCCGCGAGTGCATAACACGAGCCAGTGAATGAAAACGGATATAGAGTTCAGATTAACAAGTAATAAGAGATTGGTCTGTAAAACCAGTGAGGATAGTGAGGTAATTTATGTATATATTAAACAACAGTGGAGAGAGCAGACATCCTTGTTTTAAACTGCATCGCACATTGGAAGGCTTCCATTAACCCTTATTGAGCACTTCACACTTTTAAACAAACATATGATTGCTTCATACATTTTCCCATTTAAACCAATTTCTGATAACTTTTCCATAAAAGGCTCTTTTACTATTATATGCTTTCTTAAAATCAATAAAAGCAAAAAAGGTGGATTTCCAGAGAGACTTCCTTGTTTCGATGATTGATGTTGAGGTGAGGTGAACTTGGGTTTAACGTCGTGCTTGAGAATATTTCGCTCATATGACGACATGCATGCGTGTGTATGTGTATGTGCGGCTGCTTGTACTAGCCCAGACTTAAGCTGGTTTTATAGTGCTAGCTCACTGAGATACCATGCCGCAGTGAAGCATGAATACCCCACTCAGACACATTATACTGACTCCGAGCCGACCAGTCCTTGTTGTACCCATTAATGCCGAGCGCCAGGCAGGGACCAACAAGTACCATATTTTAACGTCTTTTGGTATGACGCGGCCGGGGATCGAACCCGCGACCTTCCGCTCTCCGGGCGGACGCTCTAACCACTACACCGCGGTGGCGGACCCGTGAGGATAGTTATGACATCGGGAAATTACACCCTGCTTGAGAAAATGAATGATATATGGTGACAGTTTTTTTTATTGGTTTTGACACCGCACGACGCAGTATTCCAGCTATATTGCGGCAGTCTGAAACTAGTCGAGTCTGGACCAAACAATCCAGTTATGAACATCATGAGCATCGATCTACGCAATTGGGATAAGATGACATGTGTCAACCAAGTCACCGGCACTGACCATCCGATCCTGTTAGTCGCCTCTTACGACAAGCATTGGTGGCTGAAGACCAATTCTAACCCGGACCTTCACGGGCTTGATTAGGTGAGGTGAGGTGAAATTGGGTTTAACGTCGCGCTGGAGAATATTTCGCTCATATGACGACGTGCATGCGTGTGTATATGTATGTGTGGCTGCTTGTACTAGCCCAGACTTAAGCTGGTTTTATAGTGCTAGCCCACTGAGATACTGTGCCGCAGTGAAGCATGAATACCTCACTCAGACACATTATACTGACTCCGAGCCGACTAGTCCTTGATGTACCCATTAATGCCGAGCGCCAGGCAGGAACCAACAAGTACCATATTTTAACGTCTTTTGGTATGACGCGGCCGGGAATCGAACCCGCGACCTTCCGCTCTCTGGGCGGACGCTCTGAATGAGTGAATGGGTATGTCGTGTTTCGGTCAGATTAAGTAGTTTACAATGCACGCCGTAATAATTCCTGTGTTTCCTTATGATATATACATGATGGAGGACATCGTGATTGAAAGGAAGGCGCCATCCATGATGGTACGGTTGTAATTATTCTGAGACCTGTGACGTTCTCCAGCGCGACGTTAAACCCAATTTCCCCTCACCTCACCTCACCTCACCTAATCAAGCCCGTGAAGATCCGGGTTAGAATTGGTCTTCAGCCACCGATCCGTGTCGTAAGAGGCGACTAACAGGATCGGATGGTCAGTCCCGCTGATTTGGTTGACACATGTCATCTTATCCAAATTGCGCAGATCGATGCTCATGCTGTAGATCACTGGATTGTCTGGTCCAAACTCGATTATTCACAGACCGCCGCCATATAGCTGGAATATTGCTGAGTGCGGCGTAAAACTAAACTCACTCACTCACTGTAAGTATTCTGATGAGTCCCAGATCCTGACAACGCTGTCCAGGTTCTGGCCTAACCAGCTCATTACGAAATGTACATCACTGCAACCTGAAGAAAACAACTCAAGAATCCCTTGACATACATTTTTTCAAAAAAGGCGAGGGTATTCAATAAAAAGGTGTCACAGCCAATGATATCTGATATATTTAATGAGAAAACATGTTTGACAGTGTAACAGGGACATCTGAGGGAGATTTGCAATTGTCGTTGAAAGTCAGGTGTCTATATATTTTGTTTGATCATCCATCGTAGATCGGTCCCTCACGTCATTTACCATAAAAACGTAACCTCTTGAATATCATGGAATTCCGCCGCTATTCTAAAGACAATCCTGGATTCGACGAGGCAAACTCATGATCAAACTTCGAACGTCAACTAAGTTCATTCCATCCCATTCCTCCTGCAGAGCAGCGCCAAGTTCTTTGAGAGTGGTCGGTAGTTGGTAACGTATGCGCTGACTATTGCGAGGTGGGACATGTTCTCATGTTGGAGGTACTCATTGGTTCATTGGTCCAGCGCTGACGCTCTAAGCACCAGCTACGTCTTGCAGTAATGTGACGGTCCGTCAAAAGTGTGCGTCAGGCAATCATATCTGTCCACTTACTCAGCAGCTATAGCTCTGTGAAGCTCATCTCCACATTGAGATGCACTTTGAGCGCGGTATCTTAACACAGCTGATAAAACGTTGTTGTTGCGCCAGTTATCGCCTTTGTTCGACCAGATCGAGGTCTGTCCTACACGTTATTTATCTGACGATAGCGTGACTGTAATCTGATACTGCAAAACGTTAAAGGCTCGTACCACAATGCTTTTGTTCCGATTTCCAATATGCCAATTGCACTTTGCCGTCAGTGACGTGACAGACGCCAAAATATCGTTTAAACAAGACATTTTAATCTAGTTTATATCAGTGAGATATATAACAACATGTCTCACTGAAAATGTCGATTTTACCTCAACCATGTTCCAGTGAACATCATGAAATCTGCATATTTGGATGAAATTCTTTCCACATTGTAAACCTAATAATCATTTTCTAACCTCATACCCAATCATATAACTTTGTTCTAAATAATCTCACCCCAAAATGGAATATCCTCTAACTTTTTAATAGTGTAATACATTTGACATTTAATGATTTTTCAGCCAGTAATGGCCTTTTTCGCTTGGGTCCAAACTGATGCGGATTATTAAGGAAGCTATATTTTTCAGATATTCCCATCTGTCATTATAATGATTATTTTGTATTATGTTGGACATGGGGCGCTGGCCTTTATACAGAATAAAGAAATTGAATTGAATTGAATTGATCCGGATTGCGAACATTCAGGAGCTTCAGATGTAAATTGTATTGGAGTGGTGTGTGGAGGAGCACATTTGACCCTTGTAGCCGGCTGCATATGAAATGTAAGCACGAATATCCCTGTACACGTGACAAAACTAGTTGATGAAAGTAGGTCATTTTTAAAGAGCGCTAAAGAAACAACCTGACCCAGCGTATCTCAGTTAGATGTCAAGCTCCGGCCCCTACTGAACTGAGCACTGGCGTAAAGCAAACCACAGGTAATCCCATTTAGTTCTCAGCAAACAGACATCAATGTGTTCGACGTTGGAGTGCCTCCTTTCAAACTTATACTGTTAATCGTTTCCATTTTTCTGCTGTCTTTCAAATGAATGTATCGACCTTGTGAATTCTTGTGGGTCATACTAGCACAGCAAAACCTGCCCCCATGTCACATGCTTTTTGTTGGGTACAATGTGTATGTGAATTCATAAGCATGTTTGTCTAAAATTCGGATCCATTGTACGACACTCAGCACTGTAAACACTACCGTACTTAGTAAGTTGAAAATGTGGGCGTACCTTTGTCAGCAATGTTTCGATTTCACCACCGCTCTTTGTAGACTGACAGATGTTTTATTTAAGTCTCATCTCATACAAGTATAACATATATGAAATATTTACACGCATAAAATATACATTTGCTGTGCTTTCCCTTATGGGATTACGAGAGACTATTTTAAGAATACAAATACATACAATAGTTAAAACATACTCACTATAATGTAACAAACAGTCAACCTTACTTGTGATATAAAAGAGATCTCCTCTCCTCTAAGACATACATGCAGGTTTTGGCACTAGATTTTAAAACAGATTTTAAAACATCTGGGTTTGACATTATAAAAGCAAACTGATCAACAGGTGACATAGAGTTAAAATTGTCTTTTAAAACTGAACATCAAGTTAGCATGTGTCTAGTGGTATTTGTATATAAGGGACAGTTAGAAAAGCACGTGCACCTCATCTTCTATAACGTTGTTACAGTTAAAACAAACTCTTTCCTCTAGCGGGACATTGTTGAAACGGCCTGTCTCTACGTGTAAGGGGGGCTACTCCACATCTGAACATAGAGAGAGCTCTTCTTTGTTTTCTGGTCATCGTCTTGTTGATGTATTGTTCACGCCCATATTCCGTCTTGAAAGTAGCATTTCGTCTCAGTTTGTTACCTCCCCTGCCAGACTGGCTGTGAGTACAGGTTATCGTCTGCTTCCATTCCTTTATGTGTTGTTCAAATATCGCATCTTGGACCCTGTGTACTACTTGCTTGGTGTGAAGTCAATTTGTGACATCAAATAATTCATGCAAGTTTAGAGATGTAAGTTTAAGGCGAACTCTTTTAATCCAGTTAATCTTGTTCTTCAGTGCTAGTGATCTCGTCCACTGGGAGATTTTGTAGGTGAGCCGATCTCTGTGTAGACTGTTGGTTCTGGTGTATACTCTCATCACACTCCCCCAGGTCTTCACACATGCAGGTGTCCAGCCCATGTCACCCTCAACGGCCGCGTTCGGTGCGGGTTTCTTAAGTCCCATAAAACTTCATGGCCCTATTTTGTACAGTTTGTATTGCGGTTAGCGTCTTACTTCCCCATGTAGCGGATCCATATTCAATGGTTGACCAAACCATAGAGTTGTACATTTTAGTATATGTATTAATACTCATGCCTCCAAGTGACTTGAATTTGGATATAAGTAGTCCAAGTGCCCGGGTTGCAGAGCTGGCAACTGCTTTCTCCATGCGGGTATAGTCAAAATGTTCTGTGATGAGAAGTCCGAGGTAGCAATAACTGTCCGCAATGTCAAGAGTCACATTTCCACATTTAAATATAAAAGTTGTCCTCGGGATTGATACACTTCTACAGTGGAGAACCTTCGACTTGTCATTATTCACAGTCATTTTGTTGACGTCACACCAATTTTGTAGGCAGTCGAGGAGAACTTGAAGGTCCGCTTCACTTTCTGCTAAAAGCACAAGGTCATCCGCATAGGCTAAAATACATATGTTCTCATCATTCAAAGTCACGCCCATATCCAGTCCATTTAGAGTGACAATTAGGTCATTTATGTATATATTAAAAACAACAGTGGAGAGAGCAGACATCCTTGTTTTAAACCGCATCGCACATTGAACCATTCTGTAAGGCTTCCATTAACCCTTATAGAGCACTTCACACTTTTATACAAACATATGATTGCTTGATACATTTTCCCATTTATACCAATTTCTGATAACTTTTTCCATAAAATGTCTCTGCTGATACAATCATATGCTTTCTTAAAATCAATAAAAAGCTAAAAGGTGGATTTCCTGAGAGACTTCCTGGTTTCGATGATTGATGTTTGTGACGAGAGATGTTCAATAGTCGATGTTCCTTTCCTAGCACCGTTTTGTTCGTCTGCTCGTTATTCTCGGCGTATTTGTAGAGCCTTATGTTTAAAACGGAGCAATATAGCTTATAACTGGAGTTGGTGAGAGATATTCCTTTGTAGGACAGTGGGTCGAACCTATCAGCTCTTGATGACTTTGGAATAGGGTTAATAATTCCTTTCATCCACTCACTTGGCATTACTCCGTTTAGAAAACACATATCGAAAAGTTTATGCAGAAAATGGACACAGTTTGTATTTCTGAGAACATCTGGCCCCGATGTCTCGAAACAAACTTAAGTTTTTACTCAAATTTCAAACTGATTTTGACAATTTGAAACAACTGAATTTGTAACTCAACAGCATTTTTAAAACAAAAAAGCCCAAACAACTTAAGTAATCTATCCACTAAACTCAAATTGTGTACTGCGTTTCAGTTTAACATTGATTTCAGTCCATTCTGGGAAATGCATTTTCCTCCTTTTTCTCAAATTTGAGTAAAGCTATAACGTAAGTCAAAACAAAGACTTAAGTTTGTTTCGAGAAATCTGGGCCTGAAGGTATGTTGTCACACCTCGGGGCTTTGTTCTTGTTCTCATCGCTGCATATACTTCTTCGTATATAATCCCTTTGTTTATGTCAGCCTCGTCCTTGTCTTGTCCATGTTCTGATCTCACGTGATCGTATGGGTCGGGTTCGGACCCTGTGCTGTTGACGTTCAGCAGACTGCTTTTCGTCCCTCTCCATGTATTCAGAACAGTCTCTTTATCGGCTGATAGGTTACCATCGGGTAGTGTGACCTCCGCCGGTATAGATTGAAGCCGGTTGTAGCCGACTCCAATTTTACCGAGTTTCTTCCAAATTCGTTTGTATTTTCCTCACATAGGCGATCCAGTTTTTGGAGGTTTTCCTGATTACAGATGCGCTTACTTCTCCTGGTTTCCTTGTCAAATATTTTCCTTTTCAGAACGAATGTTCCACGCAGTGTCCTTTTACGAACTGTTTTACACTTAGACCAGTCACGCTGTGCTTTACACATATCATTCCATAGTTCTGTTAACTTATCATGCCACCATGGTTTCTTTCTCAAGCGTCTTCTCTTGTCGGGTCCCCTTGTGACAGCATACTGTCTTCTTGGTAGGGTAGTATCCATTTCCTCTCTGACAGTACACACAAATCTGTTATAGACCACATCGATATCCGTCTGTTGGCAGAGTGAGGCTTCTAGTTCACGTATTGTACTGCTTGTTCACAGCCACTTGAACTGAGGAAGGTATCCGGCACCGTCGTTACGTCATACTTAGTACATGTAGGTGAGGTGAAATTGGGTTAACGTCGTGCTTGAGAATATTTCGCTCATATGACGACGTGCATGCGTATGTACGGCTGCTTGTACTAGCCCAGACTCACGCTGGTTTATAGTGCTAGCCCACTGAGATACCATGCCGCAGTGAAGCATGAATACCCCACTCAGACACATTATACTGACTCCGAGCCGACCAGTCCTTGTTGTACCCATTAATGCCGAGCGCCAGGCAGGGACCAACAAGTACCATATTTTAACGTCTTTTGGTATGACGCGGTCATCCTCCCGCAACCTTGCTGTCGTCACCTCTAACACTAAACCACGGTCTTTGCAGATCACAGTACATCTGATTTCAAGCACAGTGCTGTGCTGACGTCACGTTGCAACACCAACGTAGTGCAGATCAGCGTGTTCTATATTTCAGGAAAACAGTGCTGTCGTCACGTTGCGATCGTCCACCAACATGCTTTGCAGTTACATCAACAGCTCAGATCAATGGTGTTTCTTTGCACCACGGTGCTGTTGCCACGTTACAAAACCTACGTAGTGCAGATCACAGTGTTTCGGTTGCACCACGGAGTAGTCGTCACGTTGCAACACCAACGTAGTGCAGACCCAATGTTTCCCTTGCCAACAGTGCTGTTGCCACGTTACAAAACCTACGTAGTGCAGATGCAGACCACGGTGCTGTCGTCACGTTGCAACACCAACGTAGTTGCGATCACGTTGTTTACTGTGTCACGTGCTGTCGTGACGTTACTCCACCACCGTTGTAGAGAACACGATGTTTCCATTGCACCTCAGCGCCGTCATCAGGTTACTACACCAGCGTAGTGCAGATCATACTGTTTCGGTTGCCCACTACGCTGGGCAGAACACAATGTTTCGTTTGCACCTCAGTACCTTTTGCACCTTACAACACGTTCAGCTGCATGTAAGAGAATTAGTGAAACCAGCACAACACAAATGTGACATAATGAACCCGTGTGTTCCATGTATCGGGAAGGTAATATTCATCTCGCTTCAGCAGTGGTCACGCTTCGAAAATAGACTCGGGCAGTTTATCCAGGGTGAAAACTGATATACAGACAGCTGCTTGTCTTTATGTTATATGAGATAGCTGAGTCAAGATTGGCCCCTACCTCTATGTTTAGAAAGACCTCCCAGAACTGTAATCACAGGTGTCGCTAGTGTGTTAGTCATGCTCTGTACATTCCCGCAGAAAGATGTCAAATGTCGGAAGAGAACAAAACAACGAGTTTAACCGGCGATGCAGTAACTGCTGAACTGTTTTAAGACTGATGATGTTTTGAAACGCCATGACCACGTATTGCTGACTTACAGAACAGTACGACCGCTCCTTGAGGTCAACAAACTGACCGAGCGAGACCTCACGTCATCCGTGAACCCGCTGATCCAACGCCAGATCCAGTGGACGTTGACATACAAGGCGAGTTCCTGTCCGTGAAGAACAGCTTGCAGAGAAGACGGTTTCCCCCAGGCCACAGACTTAATGAAACAAAGAGGGGCGTAAAGGCGAGTGAAATGT